GGAGGCAGATGGGGCTTGCTATGGAGCATCTGAAGGAGACATTTGGGCATGTCACAGGCTACGGCAGATTGCATTCAGTAATTTCTGACTCAAAGGAGGTGCTCCTAGAAGTCTGGAGGAACCCAAATCAGCAAATCAGCCTGGGCTGGGCCTGGTGTGTGGGTGCTCTGGGGCAAGAGCCTGAGACTCTGGTTTCCATTCCAGGCCAGATCAGTGGGCTTCCTTTCGGTGGGCCTCATTTTCTTCATTTATAAAGTGGATGTCAAATGAGGTAATGAAAGTGCTCTCTATGTATTGCAAACCCTCTGGAATGGTAAGATAGTAGGTTTTATGATTTCATTCAAAACTTTTGATTTTTGTGTTGCTTTTCTGTTTTCCTCCTTGCTAGGGGTGTGTCTCTAGCCAGCTCTAAGGCTGTTCACAGGATCATATGGTTCATGAATGGAAGAAAGAGAAAGAGAAGAGTGAGACAGGGAAAGGTTAGTAAAAATCAGGGTGAATCCCCATCGCGTGGGGCCTGTCTGCACGGTTCTGTCCCGTGGAATTTGCTTTCTTCCCGAGAGTCGCTCCTCCTCTGACTCCTGGGACAGCTCTCTCATGACTTTCCCTCTATTCTTATTAACAACACCCAACCTTTACTGAGCACTTTCTATAAGCCAGGCCCTGTGCTAAATGCTTTGTAGGCATTATCTCATTTAAGCTTTTCCCCCCTGGGAGACAGGGCCTGCCATCAGCTCCACTTTGCAGTTAAGTCTTGACAGAAAGATGCAGGGGCCTGAAGGGCATGACCAGTGGGAGCTGGAGCCAGCCGCAGGGTTGGACCACCCTCCTCCTGAGTCCTAGCCCACAGCACCTGTGACTCGACGGCTCAGATGGCTTCTGAATGGTCTCGTCAGCTGCCCCCTGCACCCCTATTCCAGAGTGCACCTCCCCAATGTCCACTGTGCAGACGGGCCCTCCTGGCCACCTCCCACCAGGCAGCCATTGGTGCTCCCATGGTCTCCCGTCAGCCTGTCCTGACACCAGCCCTGGGGCATCCCTCTAAGGGAGCAGTGACCACACTGGATCAAAGTGGTCTCTTTGCTTGTCTGCCCCCTCAGTCAGGCCGTGAGCCCCTCTGGACAGCTTTGCACGTCTGGCACCCAGTGTGAGTGGCACGTAGTGGATGGCACAGACATCTATGGAACAGATGTCGTGAGAGGGGACTCAGTATGCAGGCCACCCTTCCTGAGTAAAGCACCACTTGATGGGGTTGTCCTCAAAGGTGTCTGAAAACTTCCCCCTGAAACGGTGACAGAAACAGAAAGCTGGCTGAAGGGATCTTCCCTCGGCCTCCTAGTCCTGGGGGTTTTAATTTGGGAATCACGCTGACGTCACAGGCAAGGCCCACGCAGGGGTGCCCTGGTGAGTTGACAGCGTGGAGGCCGATGGTTCCGTGGGAACCCTGGGCACACCCAGGGGGCCTGGTGGAGGGGCTGGGGGCACCAGCGGTGGCTCCCTTCAGGGGTGCAGGGGCCGCTCCCTTCCTGGTGGTTTCTGGTCAACATCCCTAACTGCTCTGGAAAGTTTTGGAATGTCCTGGGAATGAAGGGGAAGCTAAGTGAAGCCTCCATTGCCTGGTGTCATGGGTACTGGGAACCAAGTAGAACTTCAGATGTAGCCTGCCTGGGGGGAGACGGGGCAGAATGGGAGCCTGTTCCATGGGCCTTCCTTCCTGAGCCTCGTTAACATACAGTCCAGCATGGAGTTTTGCCAACGTGTTTGAAAGTGGTTCCCCGGGAGATCATGGGCCTATGCCGTCCAGGATGAGAGCAGCTAGCCACGTGTGGCTGCTGGACACTTGAAGTATGGCTGGCAGACCTTTGATTTGATTTTAATGGATTTAAGCAGCCACTGTGGTGATGGTGCCATATAGACGGTGTTGAGGGAGAGCACTTCCATCACTCGTGATTCTTGGGCAGCATGCTCTGGACAGCTTCTGCTTTAACAGCAATTCTTGGCATCATAGGAGAGGAATCAGGAGGATCTAAATCATGAATTTCATAACCAATGCAAAGCTCTGGGTGACTCAAAAGGAAGGTGTACACTTATACATACATGCAAGTGTGCACGTGTGTGTACCCCCCATCCCCCTCACCAGGCAAACACCCATAGCTCAGTCCCTGGTGGCTCTCTAGAGGCTCTCGATCCTTCCCTTCCCAGCACCAGATTAGCCCAAAGGTCGATTTCTGCTTAGGTCTTTGCTCTTTCTCCTTTCTCTGTGAGAAGCCATTGATTGACCTCATAGAAGGGAGAGTTCTCCAAGGGTTGCCAGGGAACGTAAGTGTGTATTTCCGGAGTTGGCACCTCTGAGGAGTTTGGTCTCTGAGGCTGTCTGCTTAGCCAAGGGGGGTGAGAAAGCCACGTTCCTGGTCCTTCGACCTGTGACTCTGCTCTGGGGAGGTGGTGACCAGGCAGGGTTGGGTAGGGGTCCAGAGTGAGCCCCTGCCCCCATCACTTCTGAGGCCTGGCCAAGGGAGAGTAACACCTGATGTTAGGGAAGTAACTGACTCCAGCCAACAAGGAGGCTAGGCACAGCTTTTGATTTTCAAAATATTCATTTAAATAAAATTTTCCTTTATGCGTATTTGAATTTTACTGAAAAATATTATACAGCTTTGATCATTTATATTCTTCTTGGAAAGGGGAATTTCCTTTCTCCACACTGTCCTTTTCCTTTCCCTCCCCACCAAGAAATGCAAACAAACAGCGACTCTGAGCAATGGCCGGGCCTCTCTCCTCTGACCCTGTCTGGGCCTGGCTGAGGCTGTCAGAACCCTGGGCCTGGGACCCCCTCTCCTAGCCTGTGCTGGTTGAGGCCTCTTCTTTACAGATCCTCGTTTTGTCCCCCGTTAACTCACCTCCCCAGGTGAGCCATGTGGACAGGAGTCCCGAGGTCCCAGTGATTGCCAGAGGTGGTTCCGGACAGAGGCTGGGATACAGGGAGTAAAAGGGGAGGGGGTAGACGGCTGAACCGCGGGTGCAGGGAGAAGAGGGACGAGGAGGGGCACGGGAGAGGCCAGGACGGG